CTGTCACGTTCTGGTATGCCTTAAGTACCCACTAGTGATGGTACAACTTGCCAAATAATTTGGTAGGACTTTTCAAACCGAACCTAGGAGTAAAATCTACATAAAGAAATGCTTTGAGGATGGACTTTAGATGCCTTCTTGTCACACAGTTCAAAGACTTGTTGGCCAACAGCACACAGTAAGTTGTGTGAGTCTGAGACACTAGGCAAAGCCCTGGGTAATGCAACACAAGTCCCAGATCACCTGTGTTTGGTGGAAAGCAGCGTTCACTAGAAAGTGCATCATAAAACCTAGTCTACCTTCTGGGATTCCTGCATGCTCCAAAGGGCTATCCAAGTTGAAACAATGAGCAGGAAATTAAGAACGTTTCATTAGTGCTGGCTGCATCTGTGAGTCATCCTTTTGTGCTTCAGGAGAATTATTCTCAGAATCTATCAACTTCTTTCATAGCACTTCCAATCCCCCTGGTCACCCTACTCAGCCTTTCTCTCATTCTGCTGCCCCTCAGATTTCTGAGACAGGTGACACATAGCATGTTATCAGGGCAAATTCAGTACTTGGAGGCAATTGAGGCAGTCCTGGTTTCTAGCTTCCTCATCTCAGAGCAGGCCCCTGTGCAGTGTGCAGAGTTCATACAGAGCACCTTGTAGGAATAGTTTCATCCAGACCTGACACCCTTGATGCCGACTGCATGATGGCTCTCAGGACTAAAGCTCTTTCTAGAGTGCAGCAGCATTGATAATAATGGGAAGTTATGCAGTTAGTGCATGTTTATAGCTGAATAGGTTAGACATTCAGTTTAATATGTAGATGGGTCGGGGTGGCTGAAAAGACTCTTCTGGGTACAATACTGATGACAAAAGTGTGCATGTAGGAAGGGAGTTATTTTGCATGTTTGAATATGGGGCTTTCTAGTAGCTGAATGAGTGTGCTTAATAGCAAAATCTGCCTGCTTCATCACTCAAAATGATTACTGGACGTTTTTTTCCACTCAGTTGCAACTTCATTATACATTATTCTCCTGAGGAGTTTTCCCTTGCTAGCTATCTTCAGTGAAACATAAACTTGGTTTCAACAACATTAATGACACTCTTTGAGTTCTTGGTTCATATAAACTTTTACTATTTTCTGGGAAATTCTCCCTTTTTTTTTTCTTTGTGGCTATTATGTCAAGTAGAAGGATGGAAAGATTGAGGCTGTGACAATTACTCTCCTTATTCAAAAGTTTTTGAAATGAAACTATACTTTTTATTCATAACAAAAGTAACTTCTGAGTTCACTAGTTTAGAATGTTGACTTTTGTGTGTCCTTTCTTATGTCACGTTACACCATAGCAAGAAAATTACATATGCTCAAACATACTTTGTCTTTATATCAAGGGGTGTGAGGAGGACCAGTCTCAATTTCATCTTTGCTAAATACACATAATTTGTTCTCAGTTTTTATTCTACATGGCTGCAGTAAGATCTGCAACTTGCAGAACTGTTGCCGGTACAGAAAAGGTCTAACTACTTGCTGTGATCCAAGGATGCTCAAGAACAATCAACTCTGTAGATCTGTCTTTGAGATTTGTAGAACTATCACGTGGTGTAATGTCAAAGATTGTAATGTCCCGTATCCACAGAGGATGTCTCAGCACACTGGCTTTCCAGATGATCTTTGCATAGATCTCCATCTCCCTCCCCTGGATAAGTCAGGTGGATTTATCATAAGAACATTGTATAAAAAATGATATGAAAGGAAGAAATTATTTAGTACCTTCTATCTTCTATTACCTCAAATCCTACCAAAAATATTGAATAACTAAGGTACATGCCAAGCTTGACAGGGTGGTGGTGTTTTTTTTTCCATGAAAACCAGTACATTGTATCTCCGGATAACATGGTTTCACTTTTAAAACTGTTTGGAGATTGACACTGTAAACAATTTTTCTTACTTAGTGAGACATCTTACCAACTGTTGCTGCAGTTGAAGGTTTGCACAGTGACCTGTATATTTACAATGACAAATGATGCCTTACTCCCTGTCACACTGCCAACTACCGCTTGTTTGAGTTAATGACTAGAAATAAGAAAATTAAGATGGCAGAGTGCTTTCCTTGTCAGCTCGAGTAACCTGGGACTTGATTCTCTTCTGCAGAATTTCGTAGCCTGAATGTGATTGTGTAGAGACCTTTTATGAAAGGTCTCAGCAATGACTTACAGGGTTGGGGGTGTTTCCTTCAACAGAGTTGATATGGGAATAGTTAGATAGTACAATACACTTATTTTTAAATAAACAATTATTTCTGCCTAGATGTTAATGTGAAGGTTGGATTTGTCCTGTTTTCTAAGCCATTCCAAATCTAAATCTGGAATCTAGATCTGGGGAGGGCTGCAATAGCCGTAAGCCATGTTCAAGAGACAGTGCTTAATCTGTATAGAGACTTGTAAAAGAAAAGGAATAGCAGTCATGGGAGTTCAGTGTATCCACCTTTCAATTACAGAACTAACTGGAGCATAATGAGGATGATAAGCTGAGGAACAGAACTCAGCATCTCCTCCATAGAGAGAAGAAATGCATTTTCTGTGCAAGATGTGCCCCTAGTCTTCTTTCTGCATAAAGGCCCTATATTCTTTCCTTTGCTAGAAATGAATGAGGCAGACAGCTCAGTGCCAAGGGACTATAAGGTTGTCTGCATTGCTGTCTTGTTGAGGAGGAGTCTCTAGAGAGCGTGGGAAGGAGCTGAAAGGCTTCCAGTCAGGCTGTGGTGATGTTTGTCCATGTTAGAGAGAAGAAGAAATCACCTCTGTGAAATAATTAGGGAGAATATACCTCTCTGTTTCTAGCGATGCACAAGCCTGTATGTTTTGAAAGCTTGTACTCAGTGTATATAACTGTAAATGGAAGACACCTGGAGAGAAAGTGGTAATGCAAAATACTACTGCTGTTTAAAGGGATCCAGTAATATTTCAGGGTTTTTTATTATATATATACATAATGTTGGAAGGAAAGGCACCACTAATAATCTGTGCAGTATTCTTGTAGAGCTGGATACAGCTTTCTTTCTGTTTGTCCTTATCTTGCCAGAGGGTAGGAGTTTCCAATTAAATAAGTCTATAAATCCTCCCTTCTCTTCACAACCCTCTGTCCATTTCTAGTATTCAGATCCTTGCCTCTACTTTTCCTGCTTTTGCTGTACTTACAGGCAAAGCTGCTGACTTTACTAAGGGTACAGTCTACTCAAAATATTCCTAAGCCAGAGTCTTCTGCTACTGGGGCACACTGTTTGGGAAAGGCATACTCTGAAATTTTATCTTCTGATTTCTGTCATCATCCAAAGGGAATTCAGAGGATTTCCATCACATCAAAGAGGGATCCAATGGAAAATTTTTTCCAGTTGATGCTTTCTGGATGATAGAAGAGGGCACCCTAAACTGGAGGAAGGTTCCTCATCTGCAGCTCCTATAGCAGCAGGGAAAGAGAAAAAGCATTCCTTTTAGAAGATGAGTAAAACCACACAAAACTTGAAACAACACAAAACTAGCAATGGTTTAATAGGAGGCATTTCTGATGTGCAGTGTGAGGAGAACTGAGGAGTCTCTAGGAGGATGGAAAGCAGGAATTTGTAAGCTAGGAAGTTAAAGGCGTTTGTTCTAGGTACAGTTTCTGGGCTTTATGCTTTCCATGCATACATGAAGGGAACAGTATTGAATTAGTTGGGGCAGCTTGCAAGAGAGCAGGACTAAATAGATTAGTGTGGGGATGCAAATATAGCTGGAAAATGGTGTATGTATTTGATCCAAAAAAATCTTTGGTGCTTTGTTGGAATAGAAACACTTATTTTAGATGTCAAGGAAGCAGAACAGGAAGAACTATACAGACAAAGAATTGAAAGGAGACCTTAAGTTCTCTCACCTTCCTCCTAAAAGTCATTCTCTTCTCCCAAGATTCTCATCTTCTTTCTGTCTTTAATATCAAGACAATTTAACATGGTATGAGGGGAAGAAAGTGCCTTGCCCTCTTCCCGAATGAAGTGCCCAGTGTCCTCTCTTCCATTTCCAGATGTTCATACTAGGCAGTTAGGGCTGGTGTCAACACTTCTCTGTTCTTCCTTTGTGTGAACTTTAGAAGTGAGGAGAGAGGAGCAACAGATGAGCGCCTCAGCAGAGGGATGTCTGCCCCCAAATTGGAGACTGCCAATTCACCCATTTCCAAATCAGAACTGCTGCTGGATACAGTTTTTCACACTTTTTCTTGACACTAACAAGCACAGGTTCTATTTATATATACACAATCATACATATTTGTCTTTTTATATCAGTATTTTGAATTCCATTACACATTATTCATTAGATTTTGTTTTAGTTGTATTTTTATAAAGATGTTCAGAAAGCCCTCTGGCCCGGTTTGAAATAACTTGCAAGTAATGATTTAAAGAGAAGATTGCAGCACCAGTGTTCTCTCCAAAAGGGAGAAAAAGAAGCACTCGTGTAAAATGAGAAACAAGGTGTTTTATGTTAGGCTTTGATAATTTTTTCTTCTATGTTAAGAGCCCTAGCCACTGGGCTCTTCAGTTTCCAAGAGATGTTTTTCACAAAACTTCTAGACTTTTCAAAGCTTTATTTATATGTACAAATGCACATTTAAAAACACTTTTTCATTAATATAAAAGACATTCTTTAAAAAAAAAAAAAAAAGAGAGAGAGAGAGAAAAAGAAAAGCAACAAAAATTATCAGCTCTTCTCCAAATTTTAGTGAGTTGTGAGTCTCAGCTCAGATAGGCGCATGCTGCTTGGCATCTCAGCCCTTTCTTGTGGAGGACCTGATGCCTTCCATTTGCTCCCCTCTGTGTTACATTTCCAGAGCTCATTCACAGCTGTCTTCGTTATTCACAGCTCTGAAGTGATGAAAGGAGAAAAAAGCAAATGTTGTAGCTTGATGTTAATTGTGAGAATGTTTTAGGAGGGGCAGTGAGCACAGAAGCTGTGCAGGTGGTAACCTTTGCTGTTGCCTTACAGGAATGTCAGCTCTGCTGGAGAGGAGGCCCGCAGAAGGATGAGGGAATGTGATGGCCTGACGGATGCATTGCTGTACGTGATCCAGTCTGCTCTGGGGAGCAGTGAAATTGATAGTAAGGTTTGTCATCTTTGTCTATTCGGGAGCAAGAAATCCAGATATTCAGCGTACCTCAGGACTATAAAGCAATAGCTTTTAAAAAAATGTGTCCCCAAGGGATGCCTTATCAAATAGTAGTTTAAAGCATCATTTTCTTTTCCTTCTCTTGAGCTGTACGTTTATGTGTGCTAAATATTGGGTTTGTGTCTAGCTGTATAATGTGTCAAGGTAAGCATACATTCCTCTCACTTTGATTGTTATCAGAGAAAATATAATAACTACTTTAAGAAGAGCAAATATGTCATATTCCATGTAAAATTCCTTACACCACTCTGCCAGGCTTCCCTTAAAATTGATTTTTGGTATCCAGTATAAGACAGAACTAATAACAGTGTGGTAGGCTTACAAGACAAACAAACAAAAAACAAGTGGGCAATTAATAAGCAGTTTCACAGTGCTAGCAGTGTGACATCTTCTTTGAGGAGGATCAATGAATGCTTTCAGTAACTTTTAAGATGTATTTTTATGTCAGCATCACTTCTCTGAAAGCACTAGGGTACAGACAGGACTCTTCAAAGGTGGACGGCACTGTTTAATTAAAAGGAATTCAAGGACTTACAAGCTGAAGAGTTGTAGTACATCAAATACATTTAAGTATTCCACAGAAGAAAAAAAGGGCTAGCCTCAATGACCTTCTGTGTTCAGTGTATTGTGCTAAAGCACTTCCAACAATCTTGGTCAATTTGCCAACCTTTAAAAATTCCATAAGAAAAGCCTTCAGTGTAGCGACGTCTTAAAACTGGCTATGGATTTTTGAACGATCTTCCATGGAGTTTTCCCTGGACCTCTGATGGCTTGCAAATTGAAGATTTGCAAATTTTCTGGTCATGAACTAAACCAAACATAAAAAATGCTGATACTTTCATGGTAGGGAAGGAGGAATAATGAAGAGTTTGTAGCATGCAGTGCAGGTTTAGTGGCAAAATAACTAAAGCACGCAGTAATTCAGAGGTCTAGGATCACCTTTCCATTAATAAACATTTAGTGAAGTAATAACCAAAAGAGGCCAACCCACAAAGCACTCACCATGCTTGCATCAGGGTCCACAGCAAATCCAGAAGCCACTAGCTGCCTCCCACCCCTTCATCTCACTTCCCACAGTGCAGCTCAGAAACACAGCGGTGTTTTTAGCTTCATTAGCTTTGGGAATGCTGAATCATGAATTGTGTCAAACCTGCCTGATTCAGCTTGGCTGCAAGAAAGGAGAAGACAGGGAGCTTCAGTGGAGCAGACCAGGAGGTAGACTGAAGTGGAGGAAGTAGATTGTCGCCTTTCTCACAGCTTCGCTGCTGCTCTTTCTTTGTAGATGACTGGGCTGATTTCAAGATTGTTATACCATTAAAAGGGTTAAATAAGGAGCACAGAAAGTTCTCTGTTTTGCCTCTTATCACTAATATAAAATATTCCATTTATGCTCTCATTTGTAGCTATTACGACTTTGTAAAATCTGTAGGCTGTGATATAGAGGAAAAAATGAGGACATGAGAGAAGAATTATTCTCCCTGCCTGAGTAGTTTTAACCTCCTGTCAAGCTGGATTTTAACTATGGTGGCATAAAGCACTTGTGCAGCTAAATGCAAAACATCATATTGTAGCCATAGGTCTTGCATCCTTTTCCCAAAGCTGAAAGTGATTTTAATTAAACCCAATATTTGAATAACTGCCTCTAAATCACTTTTTAATCTAGTGGCCATTCATGATGAAATGTTAGAAATATCTGTAGGAAAGAGGAACGTGAGGTCCCTTGAAAGTTCAGAGCTACAAATCAGAAAGAATAAAACCTACTTCTTGTCTTATATGAGTTCATCCAAATGGCAAAGGTGTCAGTTGCATTTGAGGCATTATCACTTTCTACTGCAAGGTAATGTTGTCCTTGTAGTAGACTCAGTTAAAATTGTGGGTTCTTTTACAGAATGAGAATTTAAAGTGTGAAAATTGATATCCATACAAAGGGGCAATAAGATGTCAAACTTTAATCAACACAAAGCTGCAACTTAAGCAAGTTGCAGTTGTACAGAAGTAATTATTAGCACAAGTCAATAAAATTAAAATGTGGAACTGTTAAGGATAAGTTTAAGGTAGTAAACTTAAAAAAATATTGTGGTCACTACAAGGTCATAGCTTTCAGGTAGGAAAGAAGCATTAGAAGTTTTTGCATTTTTCTGTATATTTTTATGTATGTGTTTGTATGTTTCGCTGGAGATTTCAAATCAGTGCAAGTTTAATTTGAAGTTTCATTCCTTAAAAAAAAAAATCCTGTTTAGATGTTTAATACCTTCTCTTTGCTGTCTAAAAAACTGTGCCAAATATTACAGGGCATAAGCTCATTCAATTCATGGAAGTAAATGCAGCTCCATCTGCTTGCCTGGCTGGTGAATATGGCAGAGTAGGATAGAGCTGAAACCTCATACTCACTCTGTTCTGGGTTAGTGGAGCAGCAGAGCTGGAATGTAGCTTCTGTCTTCATAGAACATTAGGAACAGTTGAAATAGATATAGACAGATAATGACTTTTTCTTAACCATGCCTTCATAAAATTAAGTGCAGATTATTCTTGAAGCAGATAGCAAAACCAAATCAAACCAACTAAATGAATAGGATTCAAACAAGTCTAAAACTGAACTTCTTTTAGACTTGCAGAAATTATGCTGAATTATCACTGCCATCATTTTCTTCCACTGGGTCTAAGTCTGCTTCAGAATTCCCTGCAACGTCTTTTACAGAAGACCCAATCTATTTAGAGGACAAATACATAGGAGAGAAAAGCTGTCCGCCAATTATTTGCAGCCTAGCTAAAATCTAAAAGTAAAAATGTCAAGATCACTGAAATTCATAGTCTTGCTTTTTAGCCTCCAGAAACATAGCCTGTTCATGCTACAAATACTTCTGAAACAGAACTTGGAAGCCATTTCTTCTGACAATTACCATAGATATGATGGCAGAAATAAGTGTTACTTCTGGTTTAAAACCAACACACGCACAAAACCATTGTCACTTTCATTTCATGTCATTTTCTCCAGTTTGAAGTTCAGAATGACAATAAAAATCCCATGGAAAAATACTGCCCAGACTGTTTGTTTTTTTTTGTTGGTTTGTTGTTATGTTGGCTTTTTTTCCCCCATAAAAGAGTGTGTGACGCCTTTCCAGATTTTCTAAATCTCTTAAGCAATAGTTACCAAGGGAGTACTCATAAATGAGCAGATAAGTATTGTACTGGGAAAGTGTATCTGGAAAGATCAATTATATTGCATCTGCTTTGTATACAGAATGAGAAAGGAAGTATTTCAACTTCTGTTTTTCTTTTGTTTGTTGTTTGGGCTTTTTTTTACACTTTTCAGACCGTTGAAAACTGTGTGTGCATTTTGAGGAACCTCTCATACAGGCTAGCTGCAGAAACATCTCAGGGACAGCAGATGGGAACAGATGAACTTGATGGATTACTCTGTGGTGATGCCAATGGAAAAGATGCAGAGAGTTCAGGATGCTGGGGGAAGAAGAAGAAGAAAAAGAAATCACAAGATCAGGTAATGAAAGACACTTGCAGTTGTATTGCAAGTAATTGGAGTGCCCATCATGGACATGCCCACATGGGACGTAATGTGCATAACTGTTACCTACTGAGACCCATCACTAAGCCATGTCCCCTAGTGCCATATCCACACATCTCATGAACATCTCTAAGGATGGGGACTCCACCACTTGGCTGGGCATCTTGTTCCAGTGCTTGACCAATTTATATATGTGTATTTGTTTCAGAATTAGTTTCATATTCTGCTTCTGCATTTTAAGAGAAAACTGCATAGAACTAAATTAAGCTATGTGAGTGAATGTGAAGAAAACACACATGTTTTTGTGTAATTAATGTTGTTTCCAAAGATTGGAAATTACAGTCCTGATAATTTTCTTAAGTTACCTGAGGGGCTTTTGTTTTAGATTCATGTAGCAGAAATGCTAAGTCACAGCTTAACCCAGTGATTGAGCACCTGGTGGGAAGGCAAGGCCAATCCAGGGGAACTCAGCTGCATGCAATGCACCTGAGTGACCAGAAGGGGTGGATCCACCCCTTCCCAGACTTCATTTAAGGGTTGGCAGTGGAAGCAAGGGTAACTTGCTGGAGATCCCTGCCTACCTGAGGCCTTCTGAAGGTAAGCAGCTTCTTTCCTTTATTTTTGTAGCTGTTGCATTTGAGCAAGTCCTCACTTGCTATAGTCTGGAGCCTTGCTACTCTGCTGTCATTGCTGTGCTTTCTGTCACGTTACTGTGCATTTATGTAAAATTGTGTTTATTTCATTACTTTCTCTTTCTGGCTAAACTGCTAATAATATTACACACTGTGTTGTATCAGTAAACACCCAGAGTAGCATTGAGAATGGTTACTGGCTCAAGGACTTCTTCCAGCTACGGGTGCTTCTTTTAACAGATTTAGTTCTTTCCATTACCACGTATTTCTCTTTCAGACTATTTAAAGGCTATATTCATTTGAGTAAGCAGTTAGGCAGACAAGGTATTTGGATAAGTGATATAAACTATTAGTGAAAATACTCAGTTCATAAAGGCAGCATCTATTAATATGGAAGAGTTAGAGTAATATAAGCTAAGATTCAATTTCTTGTGACTAGTAAGCTCTAGTGACTGGTAAGACTTAATTTCACCTGCTCTTGTTGTCAAACACTGTAGTCATCAGATAGTTTGATTTATTATGACTTTTTGTTGGGATTCCAGTGTTAGGCTACAGTGGGGTTAGAAAGTGGTAATTGTCAGAGTTGGAAGGGCCCTCCAGAGATTGAGTCCACTTCCCTCTGCCAAAGCAGACCCCCTACAGCAGGCTGCACAGGTAGGCATCCAGGTGGATCTTGCTATCTCCACGGAAGGAGACTCCATGTCCTCCCTGGGCAGCCTGTTCCAGCGCTCCATCACTCACCATGAAGAAGTTCTTTTGCATATTGGTGCAGAACTTCCTATGCTCCAGTTTATGGCCACTTCCCCTTTTCCCATGAAGCAGTCATTGTCCCTTTTCCTACTTTAACAGTTCTCACACTGTACTTGTGGTTATCAAAAGAGCCAAAACAAAAATATCATGTCTGGATATTAATGTGTTCTTCTGTAATTGCCTTTTCCTTCACGATGCTCTATTTAGGAAGATTTTCCCTCTACATTTCTTTCTCATCTTTTACATCTTTCCCATTCTTTTTATAATTTCTGGATCTTGGGCTACTTTTGTTTCATCATTCTTATTAGACTTCATTCTATTTTAAAGATTCCTTAGAACTTATCTTCCTTCTCCTCTAGGCCTTTTGGTTGATTTCCTTTACAATGTACCGGCTTTTGCCTTCCTTTAGGTACACTTTGCCTGTTTCTTTGATCTTCATTATCAGTATGCAGCATAGAAGAAGCATCTTCAGATCTGCTTGTGTTTGTCAAATTGAATAGTTTAGCATATCAAAATAATAGTAATAATAAAATTGTGCACGTCTTCTCGGGCTTACATTCACTAGGATTTTCTGCAGTAAGGAAATTAATTCCCCTTTCTAAAACTAACTTTGTGTTGCTCAGGACCACTTTACCTTAGATACATTAGAATAATATTTCTAATATTTTTTTCTTTCATCTCCTTTTCATCTAAACAGTTTTTCAGGATCCAGATACATTCTTTACTACTAAAAATTTAGACTGAATGGAAATCCAGGTTGTTCTTTTCTATGCTCGGTCACAGCCTGGTTGACTGGATTTCCTGGGTTTGTGTGTGTAAAGAGAAAGAGATATTCCTGTGCGTTGTAGAGGTTATTTTTGCCTTGCAAGAACCTTCTACAACTGGATTGTTTTGTGTTTCTCAGTATAGGCAGAATTCACCCCATCCAAATCAAACTTATTTACTCTTTCTGCAGCTTCCAGGAGAATATTTTTCAGGTGTCCTTTGATGATACGTTGTCACCCAGCATGCTGACTGATGCACTGTGCTTTACACATGAACATTTTCTTTTGCAGTAATCTGACAGGTTTTTTTGCAAGACTTAATGTTTTTCAGATAATGCCTTTTATAATCTCTTTTCAATTTCAGTGCTTAAGCTGTTACCTGCTGCTCATTCTATCCATCAGAACAGATCTCCTGCTCTTCTTGGGATGCTGTATTTAGAGTGCTCATTTCTTTAAGTGCCTCAGCAGAGAAGCTTTTATCCTCTTAAATATGTCATAATATAGTTCTGAAGAGCATGCTGGCAATGGACGCTGTTTTACCTATAAATGAACAATGGAGTCTTTGTAGGATATGATAATTGAAAATACCTGAAACACTTAAAGCATGACACTGAAGTTGAAATCCTTGGGAAGAAATTTGAGAAAAAGATGGATATAAAAATAATTGCTTACCCAGATGCTTCTAGATCGAGCATCAGATGAATTTTGGTAGGTTGTATAGGCTGGGAGTGCATTTTTTAATGCCTGAGATGTTCATGGCATACACGGAAGTATCTTCAAGCTCCATGATATTGGTTATTTACAGATACAAAAAAAAAAAAAAGTTCAGTGTTTAAAAACCAGTGAGTTTTTTGTATTTGTGCTTCCTTTTGTATTCTTCAGACTTTAGCCAGTCATGTTAGAAGAAGTGCAGAACATAGGCACACTGCATCATAAAATCACAGAATGGCTTGGGTTGGAAGGGACCCCAAGGATCAAGTTCCAACCCCCCTGCCACAGGCAGGGTTGCCAGCCAGTAGATCAAGTGCTTGATTGGATTGCCCAAGGCCACATCTAGCTTGGCTTTAAACACCTCCAGGGATGGCCCTAAGCATCGTGATGCTGCAGTACAGGGAAGTCATGTCCAGTTCTGCAGCCTGTTATGTTTTATGTCTCCAGAGAACATGTGCTGATATTAGTATAGTATCTTTCTTTTCTGGCAGCGGTTTGTGTAATGAAACTGTCTCTCTTTAAAAAATTAAGTTCACTTCATAATGTGGGAAAAATGTTCAGATTGTAATGAATGTAATTGTGGGATTTTCCTGTAACAGTATACTACTTTGGTTCTTCAGTTACTTTCTCAAGAGTATATTTTTACAAATTCTTTCTAAAGTGACCAATGTAGACTTATGTAGGGTGATCGTTAATTTTAAGTTGAAGTATACAAATTATCTAAGAAGTTATAGTAGTGGGAGTACTGAAATTGGGCAATAGTATCAAACTTACAATTTTATATGTAGCATGTGGTTGAAGTTCTAGTTTTCTGTTTTAAGAGAAATTAATCCTATGCACACTTAGGGAGCTTTGTTTCTTAAACCATAAAACAAGGGGAAACCTCCTTTAATGATGAGGTTGCTTCTCACTTGTAAAGAAAGAAAAGTTAATTTCTTTGTTTCATAATATAGGAGACAATTACTGCAGTTTCTCTAACTTACATGTCACTTTGTCATGGAAGTTTAACTCCAGAAAAAGCTCAGACCTTCTAAATACTTGCACTAAAAGCCATGCACAACATAGTATCAATGTTTAAAAAAAAAAATAAAAAATAAAAAATAGAAAATAGAAGCAAAACTTCAGTGGAGGCTTCAGGAGTTGTGAGATGTACTTGTCTGTATTTGACTGAAATACTGAGAGCTGCAGTTTGTTCTGCTGTAATTGTACGTTCTTTGTGGTCAGCTGTTAACTGAGTTCTCACCCCACAAAGCTCCCCAGCTATAGAGGGCTGCCTCCCAGACCTGAGCATAGTAGGCACATCAGTGTCTCTGCCTCGTGTCCTGCCTCTTTCCAAACAGAATTTCTCTACCTCTGGAAGCTTTGTTACTGCTTTTAGTATTCTCACTGTTTTGCCAAGGGCTTGTTCTTTAAGCTGAGTGAGAAACAAGAATTATGACAGAAAGCAGTTAAGAAAATTGGGTATGTTATCCAATTTCATTAAAAGGGCCAGGGAGTTGTCATTAATCCTTATTTTAGTTCTTGTTATGCAGCCCATTATGTGCACATGTGTCACTGTTTCATTTATTTTCCTTTCCTCACAAAGAAGAAACAGGTTTACCTCTTGGCTTCGTGCTGTTCTCAAATTCCTCATCTGTGAGCACTCATCAGCCCAGAATCTAGCCCTAGAGCTGCCTTTTGATTGGAAGTGGCACTTGTGAAATGAGCCTGCCCTTCTCTTTCACCTTCTGTCAGGAGCCTTAAGATATAACAGCAACACTTCAAGTTATATAGCATTATGAATTGACTGGCACACATCTTTAGTATGCTAGGTAAATGGGCTGTAAATCCTTCTATAGCAGTAAAGTTGCCATTTAACTTTCTATTGTAAGGTATCTTTGCTGATTGAAGAAGCCAGGTGAAATTTCAGGTTTAAGATGATAATATTTCAAAAAGAATAAAGAATAAATCTGAAATAATGCCTTTTCATATGGTGAGGCCACTGTTCTGCCAACCATGTTTCAATACTGTACTGTTGAATACCAGATTATAAAGCACAGAAACAGAAAATAGGCAGCAGTTCCTGTTTTTTTCACTAATAACTGGAGCCAATTTGGGGATGAAAACCTCTATTGCTTGTATATTGCGCTTCAGAAATGTATTTTCACTTGTTATTTCCTTGTCTTTCATGAGGTGGTTATGCCAGGTGCTGTTTAGCAAGAAATCTATTTTGAATACTTCCTTTCAGCACTTCTGTTTCTAAATTCTTTGCATGCACATAAAGCCATGGGGATCACTCAATATCATGTATGACCAAATTGTTTTCAAAGTCAAAACTTGCAGGGCCATTAAATGCGATTTTTGGATTTGTCAATTTGTGAAATATAATGCAAAGCCCACTAGTTTCAGCTCTCTATGGAGACCAGTGAAGAGAAGATGTAGTTAGATGCCAAAGATTGTAATTGCATCAACTGAGTTGAGCCTTTTCCTGGTATTCAGTACGATTTCACTATAAACACTGGTTTGCTTTTATTAAAATGAGGAAGAAGGCGATTGTCTGTTGCAGGGTGTTGAGGAACACCTCAGTAAGTGATTTTTTTCTTCTCTCAAAGTTCCTTAGTAATATGAAAACTTTGAAAGCTTTTTTTAGAGTACTCTCACTTTCCTAAGTATGTTGTTCTTAAAGATCTTCATATTCAGCTTTTTATTCCTTTACCTTCATCCTTTCTTTGCAACATTTTCAGGAAATGAGAGATTTGTATCTCACCCACATAACAAACAGTTTGTCAGCTTCAGTCACAATATATGTGGGCAATTTCAGCTGAAGCAGGGAAGCCTGCAAGGAATACTTGTTTATGACTTGCTTTCTCCTTAGAATAAGCTTGGAAGAGTAATTGAGTACAGTTGTTCTCTTTTTCAGAGGTTCATACCACATCCACAGCCTATCTCAAATAGACCTTATTGATCATTCCTGATGGTCTGCAACAACACAGTGACTGTTCAAGTAATTCAGTGGGTAGAGTCGTTTAGCACACTGCCTCAGCTCATTAATACTGAGCAAGGTGAGCTACAAAGCAGCTTCTGCCATGTCTTACCCATTGTTTGAGAAAATGTATTGTGATACAATTTGGAGGAAATCACCTTGTTTTGGTTCAGGCATTTGATGTTTTTATTTATGGAATACAGAATAAATGGGTGAGGATTGAAAAAGTCTTTGCAGTAGCTTTGTTTCTGACCTGTATTAACCCTGCATACCATGCAGCAATTGGGCTGTAGGGCTGCAAGCACTGGTCTCTTCTGCAAGGAAGAAGGCAAAAGCAAAAAAAGCCTTTCATTGAGAATTCAGCTGAGATCCCCTGTGCAGGAGCGAAGAGCTAAGGTGTGAAGATAGGAGGTGCATGAGAAGTCATAGTTGTTTGTACCCTCTGTGTCCCAGCAAGGACCAGGAACTGGCTACAGGAGCACCTTTTTGTGTGACCTTAAAGCTGCCCGAGGCCCAGCACATCTGCCATGCATGGCTTGCATTTCAGCATGCCGTGCAGCTGCTCTGGTCACAAGCTTCTACTCTGAAGAGTCGTTCAAGAGGCTTTGCAACATCATTGTGTTTACTGCTTCCTCACTGCACACATGGCACCAAACTTTTCAACCCTCACCATGGCTCTGAGGCATTGTGTTGTTTTGTGGTGTTGAGAAAAAGTTTTCCCACAGACAGGAGAAAACTCCCTTAGTCAGTGATGAATTAAGATAATCATCATGTACCAAAAGATAGCAGCAAGAATGGCAGGCAAAGGCGATAATTTGTCACACGTTTTTAGAAGTGTTTTGTCATTACTGAGTAGAATGGCAAAGCCACATTAAATATTAATTTCTGTGCAATTATGATTCCTGGTGCTCTACATGTACCAGTACAGCTCTATTTATATCAGTTGATTTTCTCTAAATTTTCAGCAGTCCATGGGATTATGACTGTAAGTATTTGAGTTTTTTAAAAAAGTTACATCTCTTGTGCACAAAAATATATTGGGTAGACCTAATGCATTTGATACATAAGTATATTGTTCCTGAAATAGTGTAACGAATACACTCTGCAGGCATTGTTCAATTGTGTAATGCTTCCATGACATGTGCAAATCAGAATTGGAGGAATAAAGATCTCAAGTTGTGTCGTTGGACATCACAAGTTGATCATAAAGGGTCTTACTGAGGTAGAAGGCCCAAACATGGTGTGAAGTTGGATTTGACCTGTAAGGCAGATTTTTCACTTGTTTGCCAAAAAATTATGACAGTGCAAATGAATAAATTCCAAGAGTTAAAATAAGAACCAGATTGTAATGTATTTTTATGGGCAGGTGAAAGGACACTTCTGGTAAGGGTGGTGATTATTTATATGGAGAAAAAAGAAGAACTGAATCGCATACAGTGAAATCAACCAAGTGGTTTAATGGCAGAAATGTATTTTAAAAAAAAAATCAAAGTCCTGTAACATCATCTTTTAAAGGGATTTTTTTTCTTTAGAAGGCGATTTTCATCTTGTTTCTGTGATGTTGCTGTGCCAGTTCTCTTAAACTGTGGTAACGTGTATCTGCTGCAGTAAGTCTTATATCTGAGCAACTTTCTGGTATTAAACAGTCATAGAATGGCCTGGGTTGAAAAGGACCACAATGATCATCTAGTTTCAACTCCCCTGCTATGTGCAGGGTTGCCAACGACCAGACCAGGCTGCCCAGAGCCACATCCAGCCTGGCCTTGAATGCCTCCAGGGATGGGGCATCCACAGCCTCCTTGGGCAACCTGTTCCAGTGTGCCACCACCCTCTGTGTGGAAAAACTTCCTCCTAATATCTAACCTAAACCTCCCCTGTGCGAACTCAAAACCATTTCCCCTTGTCCTATCACTATCAACTCATGTAAACAGTTTTTTCCCTTCTTGTTTATATGTCCCTTCAAGTACTGGAAGGCCATGATAAAGTGATCCCACTACCTTTTCTTTTTGGTGTTTGTTCTACTTCAATTTAAAAAAAAAAAAAAAAAAAAAAAGTACTTCTGATACTCAGTAGTAATAATCAATCAAAACTTTGATTACATTTGATTAAGGTGTTATAGAGGGTATTGGATAAGGCTTCACTGTCTTTTAGGTCTAAAGTTACCTTAAATAAAACTATAGTGATGTTCTGAAAATGAGAATCTGTGTCTTTCTCAATGTAATTATTGTTGTTGCTTTGAGTCATAACTGATTAAATCATCCAGGAAAATTAATAGTTACAGGTCTAAACAAGGAATTAATTTGCCATGTGCTATCTTTGCATGTCTAGTAGGTATTTAATGTTACAATACATATCTGCATAATCACAGTAAGTTCTAACTCAAGGTATTTAAAACTGTTATGTGCTGTATCATGAAATCTGTAGGCCTCAGAGGTTTTGAAAAAAGACTGTGCTGAAGATTCAAGGACTGGTTATAGCAAAGGTATTAAGGCTGTGAGTTTTCTAAATCCCTTTATCTATACAAACTAGGGCAAAGCACAATACAAAATGCATATGTAGATATAATAATATATATAATTATATAATAATAATATATATGTAATACAGCATATGTAGATAAAAATAACATATTTTAAATATCATTAAAAATGTATTACAGAAATTAATTTTTGTTTTTTGAAAGTAAGAGTGGTCTTTGAATTTCCCTCTTTTAAGATGTTTCATGCCTACATGGAAGTTCTGTGCATTTCAGGAGAAAGACAAATCACTGTTCTCGTGGAATAGTTTGTTCACACCTATCAATAGGTGTGGCTTTTTATGTAATATCCACCCTGTTGTCCAGGCTCCATTACTGCCTGTTTTGGATATCACTGTAGTTATTTCCATGTATTGGTGGGAAGAGTCAGGTATGTGAGAAGTGATTCTACCAAACAGATCAGCATCTGAACCTGAAGGTTGCCAGCAGTGGGCTGGCTGCCTGAGGATGCCTGCAGTGGGAGGTCAGAAGTTGTACGGCTGGGATGATGTGCACTGCAGTCGTGCTCTAGGACTTGGTAAGGGATTGAATGCTTATGTTACTGAATGATTTAGGTTTCCATAGTGGTGGTTCTTGTTGACTTTCCCTTTCATGAAAAGAAAAATTGCAGGGAACTTCAGATCTTTTCCTGTGCAAGTTCTAGTTCTTAATTCTGAAGGTATGTTTTTATTCAATTGGTTTTTATTCCTAACCAAAGGAATACATGCACTGAAGGTTTTCATTATGTCACCTAGCTGTTGTGTAGGAAACGTGGTGGAGTTTGGTTTCTCTGTAAATAATCAGGTTGATATGCTGTGAAGAGTGACTGCTTACCTACATGCACACACAGGGTCAGCTGAGACAACTCTCAGTATTTCACTGATCCTTGCTGACAGTCTGTCTTGTGTTTTCCAACAGTGGGATGGAGTAGGACCTCTCCCAGACTGTGCAGAACCACCCAAAGGAATCCAGATGCTGTGGCACCCTTCAATAGTCAAACCCTACCTCACACTTCTTTCTGAGTGCTCAAATCCAGACACGCTGGAGGGAGCAGCAGGGGCACTGCAGAATTTGGCTGCTGGGAGTTGGAAGGTAAGAATACTGACCTGGTATGCCTGTCTTTTCATTGAGAACTCCTCATGGATGACATCAAACTGGTGCTACAACTGTGTCTAAATTCTCCTTCTATTGGAATACCTCTCTATTTTCACAGAACTATCTGTAGTAAGGTTTCCAATAGCATTTTAAGTCCTCTGAATTGATAATCGTGGGAAAAGTTGTCATACAGCAGTGAAAATTTTGTTGGTCAAGAATGAAAAATACATGTTGAAAACCGATATCCAAATGACAAGAAGCAGCATCTTTATGAATCTGTGGACATGCAGCTATGGAAATGAGTCAAAATATCACCAGTGACAGTAAAATGAAACCATTTTGCATTGTCACTGCAGAAACTGGTTTACATTTTGTCTCTTAGGAGAAACTAGACAAGAGCATAGCAAAATATAAACCGAGTAACACCAACACAAGTAATCTTGCCATCTATTAAAAAAATAAAAATAAAAATGATTAAAGTACATCAGTAATGATTAAATGTGTACAACGGGCAGGGAAAATGCTCAGTCGATACGCCATATTCCAGCTAAGCCCAGCTTGGAACTGCAGTCAAAAGATCAAGTTTTCCCTTTCCAATTATTTACAGTGTATTGAGGGGGAAAAAAAATATTCATTTATTAGATTTTGTGAATATTCCTGGGTTTAGAATAAATTACTAAAATGTGAGAGTTGGTGAGCCTGATTTACTTTTATGGCAATTTCTTCATCCCTTTCCTGGCAATGAAGTGATCTGACTGGGTGAAAGTGCTGACTATCTAATCCTGTTGAATAGAAGTAATGTATTGATTTTACTTTCTGTTGGAATTTTTCACATTTACTATGAAAACTCACATGTATGGGGGTCTGCAGTTATCAAAGCTAGGTCTCAGAAGGAGTCATTTTTCGTTTTCATCCTTCACTCATTCATATGTGCTAGGTGTTTAAGTACCAGTTTCAGTAAGAATTAATTTTGAAATACTAGCCCTGAGGCCAGTGAGTGACTTTTTTCCATAAAATTTTATTGACCGTTGAGTTAGCACACTCAGCAGATTCTAAGAGATGTGATTTTTGGTGGTGTTCCACCAAACTTTTTTATAAGTTTGACTATTGCTTTCAGTGACATAATGGAGCAGGCCACAAAGTGCAGTGATTTTTGTCCTACAAAGTGCTATGAAAGCTTTGCCTGAAAACCAATATTATTATTTTTGTATCATAGACTACACCAGATGATTTCATAATCCTGGCACAGAAACGCAGTAAATGTCTTTTATTCATCTGGGGATGGGTGTATCCCTGGTCCAAATGAGGGAGGAATGTATGTGTATTTGCCAGGACTAAAAGGAGTGCAAAAATTGAAGCAGTGCCCTCTCCTATTTCTAATAAATCTGTATCTGTCATCCCTTAATTGGCAGATATATACAGGGGACCAGAGATGAAAAAAGAGCTCCACAGAGCTGTTTGGCAAGTGATGTGTTAGAAAAACTGATTTGAACTTTAATACCATCTATGCTGATACCATGGGAAAAGCTCAGTTATTCTCTTTTTGCTCTATTTTTCTAAAGATTTGCCAATACTATTACAAGTAATGTGCAGGCACAAAATGAATATCCTTAATTTCACGTGTCATACCAGCCATTTTTGGGAGGGGAGTAATCCTCTTTGGGGATTACATAAGCATTGATGCTTCCACCTTTTGACCTCTCTTTTCCACTGCTACAGTCTTCTGGATAGAAAATTACTGAAATAAAAGATAGCAGGGTCTTAAAATAAGAGGTTATTCCTAAGGGAGATTTTCATTTTTTGAGTTCTTACAAGAAATTGTAATTGTATAATGAATAGGAAATTATTTTTTTTTAATCTTTCAAGAAGTACTTTATGATAAAGCAAAAAGAGGAGTAGAGCAAGCCTTGTTAAAGTAGGTAATGCTTCAATTAATAATAACAGCAATTCCAGTGCTGTATTTTCTTTTTCTAAGCAGCATTATTATAACACTAGAAGAATACTAGAATATATGAAGTAACTGGTACACCAGGCGTGTTTAAATACTTCTGAAGATAGTCTCATCTGTAAAATAATAATAATAATAATAATAATGTGTATATACATATGCATGTTTCATATACTTGTGTGACTCTTTTCTGGCTTTTCTGCCCTTCTGGTTCCGCTGGTATAAAACTGACAAAATCTTCAGTAACAAAGAGGTAACACTTTCAATAGGCAGTGCTTAACCAATGCAATTATGAGAGGAAAGTGGGAAGATAAAAAGAGGCCTGGAGTAATTTAAAAAATAAAATTGCCTAATGAATTTAGATAAATGTCTGTCACTGGAATGAACAGATGATGTGTGTCTAATTCCCCTAGACGACTTCTTTCAAATTTCAGATGCAAGAGGAAAGCAGCATAGGTTTAAGGATTAATAGCAGGGAAGATAGTTTTTCACTGATACATAGGCATAAAGTTGACAAAGGTACATAATCAATCTTACTCTATAGGACATCTTGAACACTGTTTCACTTACAGGAATTCCTCCTAAAGCCAAACACTGGGCAAAAAAAAGTGTGGAAAATAAATGTACTTCTGCACTATTTTTCCTGTGTAAATATAAAACACTTTGGACCAAAGTCTTATTGCCTGAAAGCCTGTGCATATTACCAGTTTGTAGGAAAAAAAACTTGATATTTTTTAATGACTGATGCAGTATATACTTAGAACCCAAACACTCTGTAATGAATAAAGAAAATAAGCATGAAGAAAATGAATAAAGAAAATAGCAACTAACCAGTCCAAATGTAAGTTTGCCAATAAAATGTTTTTGACCTTAGGTATGAGGAAGGGTATTTTCAGTGCAAAACCTTAATTTGGAATGGGAAATATCTATCTTGATTTTTTTACATATATTTTGGTTCTGAAAAATAGATTGATAGTATACAGAAAGAAGGGATTCATTTTAGAATAGAGGCTGTATGGAAGTTCCTTCATCTCACTACTGCACTGGGACTCTACTATGTAGGAAGGACATTGGTGCTGGAATCTGAAGGACACAAACCTGTTTCTTTCATGGAAAACTACATGAATAATTGGATGTTAATAATGGTGGATTTCTGTTGAGGGGACTTGTTGCTTTCCAGAGCATTCTCTCCCATTGATTCACATCCACGTTATTTTCCCCATACCCTAAACTTCCTGCAGGCAGAAAAAGCAACACCAAAAAAAAAAAAAAAAAAAAAAGCCATTGGTTTTAGTTTTGCTTTCTTTAATTTCTACTCTTAAATACATTTTTTTTTTCCAAAAATAGACTAATTATACTTCATACATTTTCAGTTATACTTAATAGGTTATATACTTAAGGTTGCTTGTGGAAAGGACATAAAGACCAAAGCAAGTGTGTTTCTCATCAAACTTTATTATAGTTTTCCTTGAGGAAATCAGGTATGAGGCATGCCTTTGGATGCAGTGAAGACTTTACTTACCTCCACTTTAATTGGGAGCTCTGCTAGCTTGTCGAGTTTCTGGAGAAGGCACAAATAGAAATAAGAGGACTGTCTGCTCTGTCCAGAAGGAACTTGTCTGCTCATTAAGAATTGTTTTCAGCCTCATATCATTATTTTAGTACCTTGGATATCAGAAATTATGAGATACCATGTTACAAGACCTGTCTTGTAAAAGAAATCTGTAGTGGGTTTTTTTTATATATTGTCTGGCATCAGTTCTTTTCCTGGGATGGTAGGAATAGAAGTGGCAAGTTCTCTTTAGTTTTCACCTTGGTCAATAGGCTATCAATACATTAAATCTGCTGAACATTTGAGAAGTTAAAATAGTTTAATACTTAACCTTGGCTTTTTGACATTATGTCCTTTCTGAACAAAGTTCTCCTCACTGAAAGAAGGGAAATATTGAGATATCTGTGTATTTCTGTGTTTGTCTGTTATGTATGTGACAGCTAAATTTACACTGTTGTCAATTTGTCTACCAGTCACATTTCTTTTGCTTTGAACATCTCCTACAGTGTTATCTTCTCTGTTGCATGGAGTTAAAAACAACATTGTCACCAGGAGCATAATGTGCTTGGTTTTGCTAAACTCTAAAAAACTCTTTCAGTCATTCGTATTACTGCTTTGTTTTAAAATGCCACCATAATTTATATAAGTAATGCTTACCTTTAAAAGCTAGGAAACAAGATCCATAGTGTACCTGTTGGCAACATAAGGTCTTACATTAGAATAGGTAGCACACCTACTCTGAGCCATGGTCAATCCCTGCCATGTGCCTGGCCTTCGTTCTCAGTTGCTTTGCAGGCTTTACAAACTTGCTGTGTCAGCTTTAGTGGTGGGATGGCAGACTCCATTTGCCTGAATGTCTGTTAGTCTCTTGCACTCTGCAAAACCAGGAACAAGTGATGCTCTGTGCAAGTCTTGAAAGAGCGTAAGGCTAAAGCATTCCTCAGTTGGTTCTTTTCTGCCTCTTTTCCTTCCCCTGTCCTGTTTTACCGTACAAAGCAGGGAAGAGTGATGTTTTTTGGGCTGACAATGGAATGCACCTGCCTTTGACCACCAGTTGGTACAATATCCGTGTGAATGGGTGTTTCTGGGTCAGTGGTCTAATCCCTTAAGATAGCTAGATGAGATACCAGCCTTCATTCTTTAGGCAAGCAACTACACTTATTTTCTTAATTCCATTCTGAAGAAATCTTAAGTCCCATGGGAGCAAGAGCTCTAATAAGTTATTACATAAAGGAACTGCAAACATAAAAGGGACTGATGCAGTCAGAAACTCACTGCTACTACTTCAAAGAGTAAAAAGAAAGATGTTTGGAGTGCCTTGCCTTCCAAACTCTTGCAGATAGTGAATAATTATTGTCTAAAGTAGCAGACATCTAGGTTATCAATCTTTTCTTATCAGGCTGGGCCATATTGTGAGTTCCCTGCCAGGCTTTTCTGATGCAAATAATTAGTCATGTTATTCCTTTAGAGTTTCATCAGGCTGTTTGGGGAGGATGTTTTTCTGGATTCCAGTGAAAAGACCTTAGTTTCTTTTCTTCAAAATATTTCTATTACGAATTCTTTTATGGTAGAGTGGAGAACACCACTTGTTGTAATTCATCAGCAAATCCCTGGAGGCACCTTTTGGAAGAATCAGTGCACTACTCTAGCAGACATTCTTAACCTAGATGGAACCCCACACCTATGAGGCTGCAGCAGTTAGCACAGAGAAATGTATTAGCTCTGTAGGGAGGAGGACAATATTCAAAGGTCTAGATGATATTGAGGAAACCTGCTGCTGGGAACAGCTGTATCACAGGCATCATGAGCTGATCAGCTTGGTGGTCAGTTTGATGAATAGGGACACAGTACAGTAATACAAGTACAGTAAATTACTGTACTATATGAGGTACACCACTTTTGTCTTAAAGCCTTTCATTTATAATGATAGGCTTGGACAGTGTTTCCAGTGCTTAGAAAAGTCGTTATAATGGCTCTCAGATCATTTGAGTACAAATTACATACTCGTACTGCAGAACCAAGGATGACAGGATGCAATGGGCAGTTCCTTCTGAACTTTCCTCAAACACTTAAGTTATCCTCTGTTCACAGCATTTTAATATTTTGTTTATTTTGAAGTGTTTATCTACCTCATTTTTCCTTTCTCTTGGAGCTTGACTAAGATCGCAGTGCAGAAGGAAATTAATGGGTTAATACCACCTAGCAAACCTGTCCTCTCTCTAATCTGCTTGGTTCTATTGGTAGTTTAGCCTGCTCTGTCATACTTGCTGCCCTGAATTGTCTTTCCTGTTGTAGTTTCTACCTCCCCTTTACATTTGTTATCTCTACAGAGTCATAGCATCATAGTGCTGAATTGCATTTTTGAATTTTGATTCAATTTGAACCAAATTGAATTGAATTTTGCTGCGGTGACGTGCGTCAGAGCAGGTAAGACTGCGCTGGGCAA